CCTCCCAAGTAGCTGGGACCACAGGCGCCTGCCACAACGCCCAGCCATTTTTTGGTTGCAGCCATCATTGTTGTTTGGCGAGCCCGGGCTGGGGATTTGAACCCGCCACCTTAGGTGTATGTGGCTGACGCCTTAGCCGCTTGAGCCACAGGCACCAAGCCAGACAGGAAGGTCTTAATGAGAGGTCTTTGAAAATCTTCTAAGAGTGGGACTCCAGAGTAACTGTTCCCAGTTAGGGTGCTGATAGAAGCACCCTTGGCTGAGAACTACCTTTTGGAGCCATCCCTGATTCAGGGACAAAGGTCACCTTCAGAAGCCCAAGGCTGTGTCTCTTCCTACAGCCTCTCTGTTCTCGCTCCATCAACTCCTGACAATTATTAGTTTTTGGCTTAAATTTCTGCCTTTTAATGGAAGTAGAGAGGAAAAAAGTTGCTGTAGGGAGCCAAGTGCCACAGGCAGAGGGAACACAAATAAATGAGTTAGGCAGCAGCAGAGGCCTGCGAGTGTGCAAAGGAGATGGGAGAATATGGGAGATTTTCCAGGAAAGTAAAGGGGGGATTGGCCTGGAGCCTCGTTGGAAGTTGTGGGTGAAAATGGCCAATTTTCGTAATGCAGAAGAGTTATGGCTCCCACCTTCCTGAGCAGGATTTCAGCCTAGGGAGTTCAGTTTGAGGGAGACAATCTTTAGTGTGTAGGTCACTTTAATAAGGCTCTACAATGTAACTGAATTGTAGCAACAAAAATGTGGAATAGGTAGAAAAATTAAAAATTGAGAAAAATGTCTGAGGACTTCCAGTCACAGCCATCTCCCCTCCCCTTTTCTTGTCTCTGCCCAGGCGCAGGTGAGCGCGGCGCGGCAGGTGCAAACGCCCGGCGCGCACCTGAGCCTGCGTGCGCCGCGTGTCCAGCAGGGGGCGGTCCGCGCCGGCTGCCCGGGCTCAGCTCCCGGCCGGCCCCGCCCCCAGCCCCGAGGACCCCGTGGCGGCGGGGGTGGCGGAGAGCGGCGGTCCGCGCACCGACAGGGCTTAAAAGCGGCGGCCGCGGCAGCGCTCCGGCTGCCGGCTCCAACACGCGCGGGTGCTCCCTCGGTCATTGTCGCTCCGGCGCTCGGACCGCCTCCTCATACCTGAGCGGGGAGCGGCGCCGCGGCCTCCTCCCCGCCCGCAACTTGTGCGCCGCCGCCGCGGGAGTAAAGGTCGCGCCGGCCGGGAGCGAGCCGGCCGCAGCTCCTCCAGGAAGCCGGCTGGGCAGGTCCGGGGAAAGGGGGAAAAACAGAAACTCTCTGCCAGTCCGGGAAGATGGCGCCAGGCGGGCCGGCCGTGGACTGAGAGCCGCCGGGCAGCGGGGAACCGGGACCTGCCCACCGGGGCACGAGCGAGGGCCGCCCGCCAGGTGCGGCGCCCCGGGCTCCTGCCCGGCCCGCGGGGTCATGTCGGTCAGCGAGCTCTACAGCCAGGTGAGTGCCGGCCGAGCGCCGCGGCCCGGGCGGGGACAGGTGCGGCGCTGCGTGGGGCTGGGGGCGGAGCGCTCCGGGCCACCAGAGCGCTCGGGGTCGCCTTCTTTACCTCCTGGAGATGGGAGGTAACCGGAGGTCCCTCCTGGCTCTTCGTCTCTATTCTCATCTCCTCTAACTTCAGGTGGCGGAGAAAGTTTCGCTGTTCTGGGAGCGCCCCACACAGACCGGCCGTCCGGCTCCTGGCAGCCCTCCGCGGCAGCATGGCAGCGGCGCGGCTCTGCCGCCAACTAGGGCTGCCGCTCCCTCCCTGCCGCACTGCCATCCCTTTCCTTGCCCGGGCTCGGCTCCAGCTGAGTTCCATGAACTGGCGGGGAGGTCACTGCCAGCTCCCAGCTCGGACAGCCCCCCACCTCCGTCACCCTGGTCTGTGCACCCGGTTCCAGCTGCCCTGCAGTGCCGGCTCCCAGGGTCCGCCTCCAATACGTACCTTCTTCCTGTATGTCATCTAGGGATCCCTGAACCTGGGGTGGAAAGGAACGGACCCATGAGAAGCATGGCGGCTAGGGGGAGGGAGTGTAAGCAGGGGATGAGGAAGTGCACCATTGTCTCCGTGAGACCCCGGGAGGCGCATCCTGAATTTGACGGGGATGGTTGATTTAAAACGGCCCACCTGGGTGGGTAATTAAAGGGTTTCAGTGGTTGTGGAGAGGGGGTCGGAATAACGTTGACTTCGGGGCGGGGTGTGGATTTTCAAACTACCCTCAGGGTCAGAATGGATGTGCGAATCTCAGTGCTCAGAATCGGGAACAGGTGCGGCTGGAGAGGAGCTGCCCGGGGCTCAGAATCCAGAACAGGTGTGGCCGGAGCGGAGCTGCCAGGTTCCGCCGCAGTTGCGGTGGTTAAAGTTAGGGGCCAGCCGCTGCTTCCTGGAGAGTCCATGGTTGAGCCTCAGCCACCCACCGGGGTCCCCTCTGCTTCAGCCGGGCGCGGGGGATAAAAAGGTTAGGGGCCTTTAAGCACGTGTTCCACACGCCTTTGAAAAGCAAGTTCGGATCGCCCAATATCTGGTCTTCCTGTTCATCGCTGGTGGCCAGGACACGTTTGACAGTGCCTTGTGCGCACACCTCAGTGCAGATAGGTGTGCGTGTGTGTGTGCTGTGCGAACGTGTGGTGTGAGTGTGCTAGTCCCAGGGCACCGACCCAGGCCAACAGGTCTGGGCGGGGTAGGAAGAACTATTTCCGCATCTTCACCTGGGGTTGCTCCCTGCTGTCCAGCGCATGGGAGGAGCTCGGCTCTGTAGGCTGGCCACCCCTTTTCGTTTGAAGAATTTTTAAATCTTCGGGGGGTGGGGGAGAGGAGCGAGGCTGGGATGGGTGGACGCTCACCTGGCCGGGGTCAGGGCCACGGTGCCTCGGATACCACCTTCAGGCTTAGCGAGGGACTCCTGTGAGATCTTAGGCAGCGATCAGGATGGACTACAGCCTTTGGGGGAGCAGTGGAGGGTGTAAAGGGTAGCAGTCCTAGCCTTGGTAAAGTACCCCTCCCCTTTTACTTGTGGGGGTCTCAGGAGCAGCCCTGCAAGCTCCACTTCCAGTTCTTTCTCTGAAGCCGGTTGGCAGAAACTGGAACTGGCGGCTGGAAGCCAGTGAGGCGCCAGGGAAAAAACCTGAACAGCAGTGTTGAAAGAGCTGAGTCTTTGTTACCTTAAAGTCCAAGGAGGTACAACTTGTACTACTAAGTAAGAGGAGCGACTCCACTGACTGTACCTACAATATATTAAGTCCTTTATCAGACAGTAACACCTGCTGTATTATATGAAGCCAGTGGACAACTGAAAAAAATCCTTAATACTGAGTTCTAGTTTTGGGAAACACCAGATTGCTTTAAAAGACTTTTCAGGGGAAACCACTCAATTTGATTTTCAGTGAGAGATTGGTATGTCGCTTGTTAACTTAGGACTGAATTAGTGGGGAGTCTGAACCCAAAGGGTTTCAATATGCTTTTTCTTATGGAGATTTGAACAAAACTGATGTGTGTGTGTGTGTGGGGGGGAGGTCTTAAGATTTTTTTAGAGTACCTAATTGGAGGTAGTTCAAAACAAACATTTTCTAAGGGCTTAGTGGACTACATCTTGTTCTGTTAATGGGTTTTAGTTATTAATCATTATTTTTTGAATCTGAAATCAAGATCTTCTGTGACCAAGGTAATAGTTTCTAGAGTTGTTTAGAGCAGCTGGTTGGTTTTCTTGCTGGCAAACTTACACAGGCTTCACAATGAGAAGCAGTTTCATTCTTTCCTCACCACCCCCCTTGCCCGGCTAGATTCTCAGTGTGCACATGAATCATACAGAGAAGTTGTGCCTATTACTCAGATTTACTTTGTTTCTTGGAGAGCGGATGTGTTCATTTTAGTGTATTCTCAAGACAGCCAGTGTTCCCTTATTTTTAACCTGCTATTGGGTTTTTCTAATGTGATGAACACTAGATCCAGACGCAGACTTTAATGTATTATGCATGATGGAAATATCCATTATGCCAACAGCACTTGTAAGTATATAGGAATGGAAAATTTAAAACTTTGATCATAACTGTTTACGGATATAGTTGGAAGACATCATTGGAATATGAAACATTTAAGCCTATACTACATATATAAGCTTGTAAGTATAGTTTCCAATAACTTCAGTGTTTCTAGTTACCCAAGAAAACATTTTCCTTTTTTTTTTTTTGCTGTTCTCTCTTCCCTTTCCAACTGGGGATTGATGCACTGTGTTTTATTTCGGTGCAGGGTGGAGAGTTGACTTTAGTCACTAGCTAAGGGTGCCTCCATGAACAAGTATACTCCTGTTCTCAGTAGACCCAATACCTTGCCTTTTGAGAAGTTGCTTGCTTTTAGTGATATTTATATGGGTGGAGAAAGAAATCCTTCAGTGCCAGACGCTTTCAAGTGATGTTAAGATGAGTCAGCCTCATTCACTCTCATCAGTCCCAAAGGTGAAGCTGATGACCAGCTCTCTTGTCACAGAGGTGTGTGTGTGGCAAATGTTAGGACTTCACTTCTAACCTGCTGGAAAAGACAGTGTGGGCTTAACTTGTGCACAGATCCCAGAAAGAAGCCCAAATATGGGCAAGCATGGTTGTTTTATTCTGATTTGATAGACAATAGTCTGATATTAAAGAATAAAATAACCTCTCCCCCTCGGGCAGAATAATGCAGTTCTTTATAGAAGGGCTATTCTGAATGAAAACTACAAATACTATCTCAAATACTGAGATTTTTGTTCAGTTCGCTATTTTATTTCTAGCCAGCAGAATAACTGGAAAGTCATCAGAGTGAAACCAGTGCCCTTAAACATCCTTTTTCCTGCTTGGCTTTTAATTGATAGGTAGTTGCAAGCAGCAGATTTGAGTTCTGGGAGGTGACTTTATGGGCAGACTTTCTGCGAATGGAAGCATTCCACCCAGGAGCACTTACTGAGGGTGCTGATTTGGGACCACTTGTTTTTTTTTGTTTGTTTGTTTTTTGAAAAATAGAACTCCTGTGCTCTTGAGCAGGTGTCTCTAACTGCCCCCTTTATCTGTGTATCAGGTAGTGTAGGCTTCTCCCACGTGTCTG